TTTATATATATAATTTTTTTAATTACTAAAAATATTTTATAAGATAACTAATAAATACTATATAAAATTAGTCTAAACTAAAATTTTTAGATTACAAAAAAATTTTTATAAAATCATAAAAACAGCTAGAGTTTTCAAATAATAAATATAAAATACCCCAGATTGAAGATATTTAAAACATATATTTAATAAAGTAATTAATTCTTAAAATTAATAGATAATCGGGTTTAAAAAGTGTCACTCAATATATAGTACAATGTACTACCGGTATCTCCTATCCGTCAAATAGAGATCCGAACTATGAATATGGTTAGAAACAGATATTCAATAATTGGGTACACAAAATTCACGAGGGTTTAAAATCAATATAATTGATCCGTGTATATTCGCGGTTACGAATAACGGAACTTCCAGATTTCTGTTATATAGATAGTTGACAGTAGTTTGCTCTTTATAATATAAGACAGTTGTATTGGGGTTTGGAAGGATTAATGAATAATACATGCATAAGTATAAAACACCATAGGAACGTTTTAGTAAAATTCCACAAATAATATGATTAATTTTAAGATCTATTTAAATTTCAAAAAATTCGGTTCTGCAAAATATAGTTGCCGTCCAAACCTAACTAGTTTGGGACTTTGGGACTTTCTAGGGTATAACCATATTTTGGGACTAGTTAAAACCTTGGAGCTTAACCTGTCCCAACTTTACGAATTGGGGTATGGGACAAAATTTTAGATACAACCTGTTTGGAGCAATAGTAATAATTATTTGAACGGAAAGTGAACTTAAGCTAAACTTGTTCGTACGTACAAATTGTTATTTACGCCACAAGGCTCGAAGCAACAGCACCATGTACCAAATGATCAGTTGATATGATTTTTTACTACCGCTACTGCTATTTTTTTTTTCGTAACACAGTGTATATAATCAAACTCGTATTTTGTTGGTACGTACGTACGTACCTTTAGATGAGGTAGACATGCAATAATAAGCAAATAAAAAGCCGGTCTATTTATATAAAGCAATTAAAACTTGTATCTTTTACCACAAAAAAATTTCATTTTATTTTTATTTTTAGATGAATGCTATTACATGACAAGATTTGAGGTACGTCTATACGTATACGTAATTTTTTATCATGTGAAATTAGTGTTAAGAATCGCGATCACGAGTTAAGAAAAAATTTTTTACACGACTAATTACTAGCATTAAGAAGATAAAATGCTAAGGTGTCTAAAAGGAATCAAGATCAAGCAAAAATAGAATATGCTTGACTGAAACCACAATGAATTTGTTTTTGTTCTTGTGCTTGAGTAAATTCTTTACTAGAAAGTGTAGTCTGGATTGTTGAAGATTTCTTTGTATAAATTCGTTGTTCTTTATCCCTATCTTGCGTTGCAAAATGCTATTTAAAATGAACAAATAAATGTATTGGCATAAGAAAATAATAACTTCATTCAAACATCGAATCGATAATATCAGATATTATTATTACCTCAAAATCGGGATGTTCTTGATTATTTTTAGCTCCCATCTCCAAAATTTCATCACATTCTGATTTTTTATCACTTTTTGATAATTTTATTTTATATTCTCTTTGCGCGATTAAATCTTTTAAGGCTTGTAAAACGCGAGTTTTTTCATTAATCCAATCTTCACATGATTGACACTTGTTGAAGTCGTCATTTGGATTACCACAACCGCGACAAATTCCAAAAATCATTTTTCGACGAGCAAAAATATATACAGAGTTTTTAGAAGTTTTTAGTTGAGTATTCATTTTTTTTTTTTTGATTTCGACAACAAATGATACAAAGAAAGTGAAGGGGTTTTTTTTTCTTCAGAGATATGAAAACAAAAGTTTTAAAAAATATTTCGAGTTTTAGGGGTTTTTTTTTTAAAAAAAAATCATCAACTAGTAACCAACTAGTAATCAACTAGTAGTCAAATAAGTAGTAAAACCAAGAGAAAGAGAGCAGATTTGCAAATAAAAGAGAATAATTTTTAAGATCTTTAAAAGTTATTTTCGTTTGCAAACAGTTGGTTGAACATAAACAAGCTAGATACGTATTGTTACGTACAGCACTGCGTAATTTTTCGTGATGCGTGCGTTGGTACCTGCCAGAAGTTCGTCAGAATGCGTCTCTTTTTAAAGGAGATTCAGGAATGATTGATTATATACGTATATATATATATATAATTGTACGTATTTATTTATTTTATTTGTTTTTTTATTTATTTATTTTATTTGATTTAATTTAGAAGGGTGAATTATAATCGTACTTATTAGTCACATAATATGCACGAAACTGTGATTTAGAGTAACAGTGTTACTATTGCAAGACCAACGAACATTCTTACAACCGCTAGTTTTCACAACCATAATTGTGCGAATATGTATGCGTGAATTATGTATGCATTATTCGTTCAAAAATTTAGTTACTTGCATGATTGGTTAATTAGCCTAGTTCCATTTTTATAATATATATACACTTGGTCACACGATATTACAGGTATATATTAAATACTTTAAAAGTAATATCGATATCATTTAAGCATAAAAACTATATTAATAAACTATTAAAATAGCAATATAGGAATAAACATATGCATTGATATTTATTATTTAATAGAATTTAGGCAATACATATAAAAGAATGAATTTTGGAAATTATATTGTATAAAGTTTATGACGATAGGTTGAAGATCGATCTTTTTATCCTAATTTGTTAATAAATTCATTATCATACACTATATTGTTTAGTGCAGATTATCCTACGTTCTACGTACTGTTTTACTACTGTTTTACCAAACAAAAAGTTACTTCCTTTTCAAGGCATCAAATTCCTGGAAATTCACGAGCGAAAATTAATGTTAGTTTACGAGTAGGTATTACCTAATATAGTGTAGTTTCATCATTAAGTCATTTCGAATTTCTTTGTCTAATTTGACATACAAGATAACCAATTAAATATGATCATTGATCTATTAGTTTATAAATTCCTAAAATTATTGCCCCTTCAACCTAAAACGCGTCTAAATAGAATTCTCATAGAATTCTCCGGAGAATCAATTCTATATCAAATTAATGTGATAGGTCTGATTTTTTTTGATAACTTTCTAACTTTAGTGCAATTTATTTAATCTTGATCATCTGTATTTGGATTTTCAATTTTATCATTATTGATGATTTGCTCTAACGTATCACAAATCTCTCTATTCACTGTGTGTGTGTTTGAAAAATTCAAGACATATCAAAATCTTATTAGGAATCTCATTATGAAAATACGAAATAAAGAGGTCTATCCGAAAATAATTTGATTTTTTTTTCCTCTAAGAAAGTCAAACCTCCTTTTATAAGCTTTCTAACAGTAAATAGCTGTGGCTTCTATTATGTTAGATCGTAGCATTACATTCATTGGGGCTTGGCGAAGCATGTCAAATTATGGCGTGTTGGATAGGATGATGCAAGTGGGGCAATACACAAAGTCATTAGATAATTTGGATCGAACTTCATTTTTTCCGGATAGAACATGTTTTGCTCCTAATGCTGTAGATAAATGTAAAGTAGATCACCTCAAAAGAAATTTCTTTAACAAAAAATCAAACGAATAAAATGCGGAAAGTAAATATCAGCCAAGCCGTATTTAATAATACGATGTAAAATTGAGGCAACGCAACATTTATGTTACTAGGCGGCCTTTCTAAATGCTGTCTACATAGCGATGATCCAATATTTGTATTATAAATATTCTTGAACGTGCTAGTTTGATAAAATATTAACTGGATCGTCAGCGTTTCAAAGCCATTCGTCAGACATTCTTTGCAAAGCCAGTAACTTTTCCTTTTTTACTTTACCCCTTTCACAAAAGATATAAATAATAAGCCTCAATATTAACAATGCGAAGATGTAAAAGTTTCGTTTATCGTAAATATTCTTTTTAGCCCGCTTTCAAATCTGCTTAGAAAAAAAATGACCGAATTTTGTTGCTGCTGGTGGGTTTTTATAATTTTATCGCATGATTCCTAATTGCTAGCAATGTACTTTATTAGTTTCTAGTTCGATTTGACCGGCATGCCTCTTTATTAAATAAAAGGCTTGGATAAGTAATGTGAAAAGAAGGAGAGTTATGAGAATTATTACTATTTCCATAAAAAGTTACATGCAAATTGTTAAAATTGTTGGCTTTCTATATATATATATATTTTTTCTAGTATTCCTATTCGGGTTGGTACTATAATCCTCGCTAGTCTTTGTTTAGTGGGTATCTTTACATAATTTATATAATAAAAGATTTAATCAGTTATCACTTATTTCAACCTATTTTCTCTATCTCAGTTTTTTGCTATTGGAGCAGCAGTGGGTTACCTAGGGAAACCAGAAGGTGCGTATTACGTGATCAAATAACACGTATAACATGTATAACACATATTCCTTAAACCGTATAGCATACATATTTGTACGCTAAAATTTAGTCCTATTTTTGCGCATTTACTCCCATTTCCCATTGCTTGAAAGCACAGGTTTTTTTTCAATTTTTAGTAGCTGCCTTACCTCGTTTAGTACGTCGGGAGTGCGTCGACCGTAACCCGGGTTTACATAAGGAGAGCATCTTCCTGCATTGCGGATATTAAGTAAAATTTCCAATAATTGGAAATTTTATTTTGTATTCGCAGCGCAGGAAGATGCTCTCCTTATGTAAACCCGGGTTACACTCAATGCACTCCTGACGCACTAAACGAGGTAAAAAAACCTGTGCTATACTTGAATAAAAACGCAATTTTTATTTAACGGGGCCTTCTTAACATTACCCCAAAAATCTACACGTGATGATTATCATGCGGGTTTCTTCTATAATATAACATTAAAGTTGATCGAAGATTCTTTACAGTCAACTTTGCGTAAATGATTTTTGAATCAAGACTACGGAGATAGGGTGGCTCAAAGGTTTAGGTTGTACAGCATATTTCACAGCCATCGTGTGAATTTATGCCTTTTATTCGGTTCATATCAAGTATGCCACACTACAGCTGTGGGGTGTACCGTGTGGCTCGAACCATTGAAAGTCATCAAAGCCGAAAAACTTTTTTTTATAGTTTTATTTTCTTCCAATTATCTTAGTGTACAAATATGTACACTCAAATGTATGGTTTAAGGGACAATACGTATAAAGTATAAGACGCGTGTTTTTCTTATCCCTAATATATATAATTTATTTTCGAAATTAGCGTATGCGCCTGATATGTCTAAAGGCCTTACGCTGGTTTTTGGTATTGCATACATTATCATGGCATTGGTCTCTTTCTTTGGAATCGTCGGTTCGTTCTTTGTAAGTTCTTTACTATATTTCTCAAATTCAAGAAAATTTGATACTAACTTACTTTTTTTTTTTAAAAAAAAAAAAAAAAAATCAGAGTGCAGCAGGTGCTGTCCGTATTTTTGCCACAATGCTATGGGGATTTGTCTTAGTTAGTACTGTTATTGCCATAATCAATATCGTCAATTTGGCTCAAAATAAACAAACAGCAATCGACAGATGTATATCGCAAGCTAATTCCACAATTCCCGATATAAATCAAGAGAAAGTCGCAGAAAGTATTCCTGGTGTTTGTAATAGTATAGAAACCATGAGGATCATAGTTTTTGGGGTTATAGCAGGTGTAATTATATTAATTCAAGTAAGTACTTTTTCAAAACTTAAATGTTTCTACAATAAATAATTTATTAAAATTTTTAGTAAATATGAAATTTGTTTATTCGTAGGCGTATTTTGCTAGAGAAGCCTCTCGTTTCGCAGAGCAACTTGAAAGAAATTATTTTAGTAAACGTGATGTGGGTCATTCATCTCGAAGCGATTCTACAGGATCTGATCCATACGCACATCATAACAAAATTTAATGAAAAAAAAACTCACCTGAAATATATAAGTTTAATATATTGGTTTTCATAACATGAAACTTTTAAACAGACCCGGCCGGCCGGCTTTTTTTTAAAATTTCATATATAAAAAATTTATAAAATTTTTTTAAAAAACTCACCCGATTATTAAAACATAAAAAATTTCTTTTCAAGTTTTCAAATTTTGACCCGGCCGGGTTATGAAACCAATTAATTAATGACCTAATTTATGGATTTTTTAATATAATGCATATGCACTCTGTTCACGTGACCATACTAATATTAATTCCATTATTATTCCTTAAACCGTCCGGTTTAGCGGGTAAATTGTCCGCTAAAATATTTGAAAGAAAACCAACCAATAAAATTTTTTTTATTGATAGTCACATCTAAATTAACCAAAAGTTTCAGTCACATGATGCATTTTATGGCCACAGCATAAATGTCAAAGTAACCCAAATAGCACGAATTTAGGTTATATAAAAATATAAATCCTTTTTTTGTTTCTTTCAAAGCATTTTATATAATTGAACTTTAGAGAATTATTTAAGTTTTAAAATTTATATATACTGTATTGGCAAAATAAAATTACTATAATATAGATATTTAATAATAATAATAAAATTTTATACTAGGGTGTGGTGACATAGTAAAGTGATCAAGTTGTTACTTTTCAAGCAGCATGTCAAGAGTTTGAATCCCACTAGTAATAAACTGTATTCAGTTAATTAGTTGAAATAGAATATTTGTAATTACAGTTATATTAGCAAAACTGGTAGGTCTGTGGTATTTATATAACAAAAATATTACACGAAGAGATACAAATTGGTATTTGGCAGTGCAAACACAAGATAAGTTCTCAGGTTATGTAAATCCAAATTTGCAAATATAGAAACCCACTTGGCAAGATTTGAATAAAGAGATAGTACAAACTTTTGATAGAGCTACTGTAAAGATTAAACCCAGAAAATAGAACTCATGTAAACTAAACCAAATAAAAACAAGATATTAAAAAGCACCTTTATCAACCAGATCATTGCAAATATAAAAAAACTGGGCAATTTAGATTGGGAGCTCTTGAAAACCATGGTGATAGTTCAAAACCAACTAGGCTGCTTTATTAGAAGGGTTTCTGTTTAGATGCAAAGGAAAAATATATACTAATTAGGTTATCTAGATTGAAAACTTGGTGTAACTCAAGTGACAAGTGAATTTTACTCAAACCAACTAGACTGCTATCAAACTTGAAGAAAAAAAATTACACAAACCAGGTTATTTAAATTGAAAGTTTAGGAAAAGGTATTAGAATTACTAAATTACTAGAGATACACATACTATGAAATTAGTTCTGGGGTTTGGGTGAACTTTACAATAGCAAAAGTAGATTAAAGTGATGGAGTTTGAGCCAAACTGGTCCGAAGGAAGGCGGAGACCACTGATGCAGATCACACCTGGGCGTTAGCCGGGTGCATCTTTTGTTAGTAGATTAGCATAGTTATAAAAATTCTTGTAATTTTTCGAGTAACTTAATCTCAATAAACAGAAGCAGTAGCCGAATTATAAAAAAAAAAAAAAAAATTTTTTTTTGCTAACTTGCCCCTGGTGACGTTAACCACCCTATGATTTACCAATCAGATTGCAGGATCTTGTATAACAAAATAAAGAAATTTTTTGAAAAAAAATTAAAAATTATCAATATCGTAAAATTTTATTATAAAAACTAGCTTTGGACTGTTAAGTAAAAGTTTTTAGCACCTATTTTTGCATATAAATAACCTATATTCTAACTTAATATAGCCTATGCCCTAATCCTAACCTTTAAATAATAATTTATTTATATAAAAAAATTCTATAAAAATAAAGGGTGGTTAAAATTAGTTAAATTCTTATAAAAATTTAGTAAAAATTAATTGTAATTTGAAAAAGGTTTATTAGTGATAACTTTCAATTTTATAGTAAATTTTTTTAAAATACTATATAGATCATATAAAAAATGATCTATATACCCTCTACTCCTGATTCGTCTAAAAGTTTAATTTCGTTTAAAAGTTTAATCGCTTTTTTATCATTATTATTGGCTGCCAACTTCAAATATTCCAACGCAAGCTCTTTATCTCGGCGTATTCTAAGCTTTCCTTTGAGATAAATGTCTCCCAAATAAAACATTGCATCAATATTTTTATTTGTAGCTGCTAATTTAAGATAATATATAATTTCCTTTCTTGTGTCATCATCATTGGTAAATTTAAAGGTTGAAAGTTTCATGACTGCGTATCGAAATTGTGCATCAGGAAGGTTATCGTCAGCAGCTTCTTTGAAAAGTTTTCTGGCCATATCTAAATTTTTTTCTACAATATGTCCGTTGTAGTAATAAAAACCTTTCCAATACTTCGCTAATGGATCGCCAATATTTGCATTCTCTTCGAAACATTTCCATGCATTCTTGTAATCTTTAGTTCTATGAAATTCAATTCCTTTTTCAAGAGGTATTAAGAAGCTATTAGGATCATTATCAGCTTCAAAATCCTTAGTATCATCTTTGATCGTCGGATCTTGATTTTTTGCTGTATTCAAAACTCCTGTTCCATCTAACGGTTTATTTTTTAAAAGTAATGGGTCATCAGGGCTAATTGGGAATTCTATAGCTAACTCTTTAAGCTTTATATATAATTTCACAACGGTTATTCGCCGGTTTGGTATATCGTGCCACGCTGTTTTTTTAAATAAGACTGATTAAAATACCATGCAACAAAACAAAAAGAATCTTGAGGATTAAGTCTTTTATAGGTGACACCTCAGTTAAGTTTCCGCAATCATGTTATGTGACACATTATTTGGCCAAAATTACACTAATTTTGGCCGAATCACGTAATCACTGTGACAGCATTATTTGGCAAAAATTACACCAATTTTGGCCGAATCACGTAATCACATGACACAGGCCAGTGATTTTACCGGAGGTGTCATCTAGATAATCACCTTCTTTAATTATATTAATAAATTCTAATTGAATCTTATCATCTTCAGAATTTTAAATTTTTCACGAAAAAGTCTAGGTCGCTTACCACTCAAAACATGTTTTGGTATTTCTTCCAGTTTTAAATTATCATAGGGTAATTTTTCATAACAAATAACATTCCGAGACTAGGTATAAAAATAAAATTAAAGATAGTAAAAGTAAAGTGAATCGCAATAAACTTTCATGAAATTAAATATAATCCATACCTATATATCTGATATTTCACAATGAAATGTATATTCCATTTTACTATATTTCAAACTTACTTTTTCGATCAATTCGGGGGCCATCCAACAAATATTGTACGGTAAATTGCTTGGTAACTTTTCACAATTCATATCTTCAATCATATATGTAATCATATATGCTTTTTCAAAATTTCCAATTTTTACATTCAAGTTTTCTAGTACCTACAATTGATGTGTGTTATTTCTGGTAATATTAAACTTTATACTGTATAATTATATATACTTACAAAAATATTTTCACA